TTCTCATAGTACTCACTCCACGGTCAAATCTCACAACTTTGACACTTTTCCCACATTATTTTTCTACTTCTAGTTTGAAAATTTTGAATTTCTGAAGTGCTTGTGATTTATCATTAATCAAGTAAACATGACCATACCGTGAGAAATCATCAATAAAAGTTATGAAATATTTGTTCCCACATATAGTAGAAGGCAAAGGTCCACTGACGTCTTTCAAAAACACCATTCTGCTCAGGTGTCCCTAGCATGATGTATTGTGGCACTATTCCACATTCTTGTAAAAACTTTACAAAATCACATATATTTTGACCAGACTCGTCATATTTCTCATAGTACTCACTCCACGGTCAAATCTCACAACTTTGATACTTTTCCCACATTATTTTTCTACTTCTAGTTTGAAAATTTTGAATTTCTGAAGTGCTTGTGATTTATCATTAATCAAGTAAACATGACCATACCGTGAGAAATTATCAATGAAAGTTATGAAATATTTGTTCCCACATATAGTAGAAGGCAAAGGTCCACTGATATCAGTGTGTATCAAGTCCAAAATACCATCGCTCCTAGTGGAATCTTCTTTATAGACTTAGTTAGCTTTCCTCTTATATAATCTACACACGTGTCGAAATCAGAGAAGTCTTACAAGGGAAAATCTCAATTTTTTCCAATCTTTCCATTCTATCATTTGAAATGTGACCCAACCACTTATGCCACAATATAGAGAATGATTCATGGATTAGAGATCTTTTCTTTTTACAGAAGTTACATTGATCGTTTTCTTTATAGTTCCTTTGAGACCACCAAAATTTTTATTTTGCTGATTTCGGTGTGATTTATTATCCTTTCGGAACTTAGACTTATAATTATACGAAGCCCCTTGTTCTGTGATGGCTGGAAGGCTAATTGCATAGTTTCAACAGTCTCACGGTGCATCCTATATTCTTCTTGGGCACATATTACTATAAAGTCATTCAAATCCCATTTATCCCGTTGAGCATTGTAATCTACCTTAAGCTGATTAAACTAGCTAGGAATGATATTTAAAACACGATAGACCAGGAAAGGCTCCGCACTGGGAATGTTAAGGGCCTTCAATTTTGATGATATATTTGTCATCTTCATGACATGTTCCCTAACACCATTTGTATTATCATATCTCATATTCATCAATTTATACATCAGATCCCCAGTTTCGACTTTATCAAACTAAATAAACTTCTCTCTTATGGCATCCATGAAACTTTTGACTTTTTCATTATCGAGGATAGCATCCATAACGAAATCGAATATGGAGCGCTTAATTATTTTCAAACAAAGTTTGTTGACCATTTCCCACATTTCATACTCGACTACATATTCAGCACTGCTCTTATATGAAGGTTTCTCAACATTTTTCTCCATTGCAAAATCCAAGCCTAAAAGACTAAGTGCTATTTCCACATTTCATTTCCATCTCACAAAGTTATTTCTGGTCAAAGTTTCAATGGCAAACAATTGACTCAAAAGAGATGAGACATTATAAACTGTGGAAACATAAAATATCATACTCAATATCATCCAAACATAATGCATGCAGTTAAATGGATGATAAAATATTCATCTAATTAACATGGGCTAAATTAGATAACCCGTAATTAAAGTCAGATCCATGTGAATCTTATTACGGTAATAGCCTAGGTGCATCATTGGAAAGTCACATTTGGGCTGACAATACAACATGCTGTAAGGTATTCTTAAAACACATCTTGGAGCTAGTTAACAAAATTACATTGGTTTTCGAAATACCAATACCTTTGGACAGAAGGAGATTTCTAAATCAAGGTAAATTCGTTAACTGCCTTATGTCATTTTCCAAAACATTGCATGTAATAACACCTTTGGGTAAGATATTATATGCAATAATTTAAAATTGTGACATTAACGCCTTTCAAAAAAAAATTTGGTAGAGAAAATCGAGTAAATAACAATGAGTGTGCCACTTTGGTAGCTACCACCCATTTCTATTTCAAAATATTTCTCTTAATGGGAGAACAACGATCATCTTCAAGCCTATGAAAAATTCGATCACAAAATAATCATTATACAACAAATCATAATCATCAACCGATGAAAGGTAAATTTCGTATGTGATTGAGAGACAAAAATGACAACAAAATCTCAATATATGAAAGATGGAATTTAAATGGACAAATAATAGCGACATTTAAATATATAAATATTTTAACAAAAATATAAAAGTCATCAATCCTTTTTTTTTTTTGACATAATCTCAAACGGACCAATTTTAAATAAAATTTTAATTGGGTCAATTGAAATTTTAGGGTCAAAAACTTTTAAAAGTTCAAGATAAAAGCCTTATTTGAAAATCACATTTTAACCCTAAATTAAAATTAAAACTAGGTCCTTTAATATTCAAAATTGCATGACAGGTCCTTATATTAAAAATTACAATATGACCCCACTCTCTAATTGCAAACAGGGGCCTCTCATCTCATAAATTGCAAGAGAGGCCCCCTGTCCCCAACATACTACACCCACCGACCGAAACAAGCCTAAATCCACCACCTTTTTTTGTTTAACGCTCATCTATGACCTAGAAGATGGTTGATAATTCACTGACACTTTATGCAGGATATGACTACTTCACAGGCTATAATATCACGTTAAAGGGCTTTGTGAACATTCAAGCCAAAACCACTATTGCTACACACATAAACCATTTACAGTTCAACACCAAACAAAGGTAATGGAGTAGTTCAACACATATCAAATCACTTAAATGTCCTGAATTCAAGTCTCTTCCCATCCATTTATGAAAACCATTTACATAATAAGCCTTTTGATGACAAAAATATCTGATTGAAGGCTAACTTTTCACATATAAATTTCTTCTCTTAAAGATTTAATTTTTTGAATTCATATCACCAAACTATATATATATATAAGGTAATTCATTTCTTTTGAGATAGTGTAGGTAAATTCCAAACAACAGCACCAAATTAATATCAAAGAACAGGAGGTTGAGGTCTGGTTGCAGGAGGCAAAAGCAAGTTAACAGAGAGGTGGGTAATTCAAAGGCAAACTTCAATAAACTTTCATAGCAACAGATACGGACAAGACCATGTGTCAGGGACGGCAGCTTTACTTAGCCCCTTGACACTATCGCAGTCGTAGTTTGCCCAACTTCGGGCGCACATTGTAAATATTACTTCAAGTTTGAGTTGTAATTTTCTTTTCATTGTAATAGTTATTTCAGTTGTAAAATAGCTCTGATATTAGTAAACGTTTAGTATGATTCATCGTCTTTTAAACGTCTACTCCTGTCACTTAGGCTTTTGTTCAGAATGCTATTATAGGGGGTATTAGTCGTTCAAAAATCTTTCAAGCTCACTGGTGTCTGCCCCCTGCACCAGCAATTGTAATTTTCTGCTTTCGTCAATTGTAATGTTCAGTTTTCATCAATCAATGTTCAATTTACTTTCAATGTATTCAAATTCTCTATTGTAAGCTTTCTACAAAATTGCAATCAAATTTTCTTTCGTCCCGACGCGATCGAGAAAAGGCGGAAGGTAGTTTAGCGGAGCAGACTACTGTCGTACGGTATCCCTTTCTGTGCCAAGAAGAAAGGCACCCCGTGAAAGTTTGTATCAGAGCTGCGGCTCACGACCCTCGATAAGAAAGCTATGGATCCAATTACATCCCACACCACTGAAGTGGAAGAGCCCCAAAAGAAGAGTACTACTAAACAGTGCGTGGATGCACTTGATGAGACAACTACTAGGTTGTGCTATGCCTTAGACGATCTCGAGAAAAAAGTCGAGAAGGCCGAATCCGAGATTTGTGGATTACACATCCAATTGGATGAAAGCTAAAGGGCTTGCACAACAATGACTGAAGCTGTTGCAATATTCCTGATCTGCAGGATGAAATGGAATCGTTGAGAGCTCAATTGCGAGTATTCCAACATGCGATGGGCAATGGACAAGCTCTCGTACCTGAGTATGCTCCTAGACTCAGAATTCTTGAATCGGGTACCTATGGAGGGGCACGTGAAGCAAAGGAAGTCGAAAACTTCTTGTTTGACATGGAACAGTACTTTTTAGCAGCTTCGATCGAAGATGAAGCTAGAAAGGTAACCACAGCTACCATGTATCTGGGTGGAGATGAAAACTATGGTGGCGAACCAAATATGCTGACATTCAGGCCAACAGGGTTCGAATAGATTCTTGGGATCTCCTTAAGGAAGCAATCAGATCGCAGTTTTTCTCGAAAAGTGTCGAGTATCAGGCTCGACGGGCACTTCGGGACCTGAAACACACAAGCTCTATTAGGGAGTATGTGAAATCCTTTTCGGGGTATATGCTGAATATTCGAGATATGTCGGAAAAGGATAAGCTCTTCACCTTTATGGAAGGGTTGAAACCGTGGACATGCACGAAACTTCAAAGACAGAAAGTTACTGATTTGAGCACGGCCATGGGAGCCGTCGAATGCTTGAGCAACTACCAAACGAAATCTAGAAAAGATTGACCTTCGGGGAGTAATCAAGCAATTGGAGGTGGTAACAGACGTTATAGACCCAGCTTGAACCCAAATGGGAGAGAGCGTTACTCTCAGAATAACGAAGGAGCCTATCAAAACACCCGAGGCTTTCGGGGAAACTATCATAATAGCCGTCAAGAAAATTTTAACGGCTGCAACAATAACAATTGGAACAAAGTAAAAGCAATGGAGGGCCGAACTGTTGTCACTCCCAAATTGAAGTGCTTTTTATGCGAAGGACGAGTGTCGGAGTGTCCTTAGAAGCGGATGGTAAATGCATATTATTAGCTAGCAAGTGGTAGGTCAAGTTCAAAGCAAGGGCCCCGCAGGCTAATTGTCATAGTGAGACCGACTCCAAAGAGGATGAGGACGTAGTTGGGGCATTTTCACATCGGTGCAACACACTGTCACATCGGGTTGCTGAAAAAGATGATGTCCCATTGAAAGAGGCAAAGATGGAAGAAGCCAAGGCTCGAATTTGTAGGGCCAAAGGCTTAATGTACATTGATGTAAAAATCAATGGGAAGCCAATCAGGGCTATGGTGGATACTGGTGCTACCCACATCTACCTTGCATGTATCGAAGTAGAGCGGCTCGGACTTGTTCTGGAAAAGGGTAGTGGAAAAGTCAAAGCAATCAACTCCACTGCTCAACCAATAGCTGGAGTAGTGAAATCGGTGTTGATCAAAGCAGGTCCTTTCGAGGGAAGGACAAATTTATCTGCAGTTCAGATGGATGATTTCAAGCTAATTCTGGGATTGGAATTTCTTTGGGATACTAAGACAGCAGTGTTGCCATATTCCGATTCGTTAATGATGATGGGTAATAAGCCGTGTGTCATCCCTACACAGGTTGGGAGGATGGGTGAGAAGAGTATCACAGCCATGCAATTTAGTAAGGATTTTAAGAGAAATGAACATTATTTTTTTGTGCACTCTTTGATTAGAGGAGATCGAAGAGGCGAATGGTCCTATTCCAAAACCCGTTAAAAGACTTATTCAGGAATTTGAAGACATCATGCCGGATGAATTACCAAAGAAATTACCACCAAGAAAGACGATTGATCATGAGATTGAACTTATTCCAGGAGCCAAACCTCCCGCCAGGGGCACCATACCGTATGTCTTAGCCTGAGCTTGAAGAGTTTAGGAAGCAATTGGGAGAAATATTGGAGAGTGTAATCATTGTGCCTGCAAAGTCTCCATATGGAGCTCCTGTATTGTTTCAGAAAAGGCCAACGGTTCTCTTAGAATGTGCTGTGACTATCGAGCCTTGAACAAGATCACCGTAAAGAATAGTTATCCTATCCCACTGGTTGCGGATTGCTTCGATCGATTGGGTCAGGCGAAGTATTACACAAAAATTGATCTTAGGTCCAGATACTGGCAAGTTCAGATCAAGGAGGGAGACGAAGCAAAGACTACGGTGGTAACCAGATATGGAGCGTTTGAATTTAAAGTGATGCCTTTTGGTTTGACAAACGCTCCAACAACATTTTATACTATGATGAATCAGGTCCTTCACGGGTTCTTAGATGATTTTGTCGTGGTATACGTGGACGGCATAGTAATCTACAGCGAGACATTGGAGGAACATGTCCAGCATGTGAGACAAGTTTTTAATCGGCTACGGGAGAATGAACTCTATGCCAAGCCGTCTAAATGCTCATTTGCTCAGACATCTATCAGTTTCTTGGGTCACATCATTGAACAAGGTAAAATTTGCATGGATTCGAAGAAGGTTACAGCCATCAAAGATTGGCAACCACCAAAAACCGTACATAATGTACGTTCATTTCTTGGGTTATGTAATTACTATCGAAGATTTGTGAAAGGCTACTCAGAAATTGCACTGCCACTTAGAAAGGCTACTCAGAAATTGCACTGTCACTTATTGAATTGACAAAGAAGGATAAGGATTGGGATTGGTCATCCCAATACCAAACTGCTTTTGATAGGTTGAAGAAGTCCATGTGGACGAACCCGGTTTTAGCCTTACCGGATATGACTAAACCATTTGAAGTTCATAAAGATGCTTGAGAATTTGCACTTGGTAGAGTCCTCATGCAAGAAGGACATCCGGTAGCATATGAGAGCCGGAAGTTAAACCAAACAGAACGTCGTTACTCGGCACATGAAAAAGAATTGTTGACAGTAGTCCATTGTCTCAGAGGATGGCGTCACTATTTGCTTGGGTCTTCATTTATTGTGAAGATAGATAACACTGTAGTTAGTTACTTCATGTCCTAGCCAAAACTATCGAGCAAGCAGGCTTGTTGGCAGGAATTTCTTTCGGAGTTCAATTTTATGTTAGAGTATCGTCCCGCATCTAGTAATCATGTTGCTAATGCTCTTAGTCGACGAGCCGATTTGGCTGCCATTTGCTCCATAGCTGTTCTTTCAGGGAGCACCGTCTCCACGAACACTAGAGACCAAATTCGGGCACTTATGGAGAAGGACCCGGCTACTCAATATTTGGTCGACCTCATCAAGTAGGGTAAAACTCGACAGTTCTGGCTCGATGGGTAACTAGTGAAGACAAAGGGAGACCGCCTATATGTCCTAAGGGCGGAGATTTGAGGAAATCACTAATTACAGAATGCCATGACACGATTTGGGTAGGGCATCCCGGAGAGGAATGCACTTGTGCACTACTGCAACGTGCATACTACTGGCCTCAAATGCGGGACGACATTGCAACCTATGTAAAAACCTGTCTTATTTGTCAGCAAGATAAGGCAGATCATCAGAAAAGGGCAGGTTTGCTGGAGCCCCTTTCCGTCCTAACCCGGCCATTTGAAAGTGTATCGATGGACTACATTATTGGATTGCCAAAAGTTGAGGATTTTGGTACTATCATCATTGTGGTGGATCATTTATCAAAATATGCAACTTTCATTGCAGCGCCTAAGTATGTATCCGTGGAAGAGACAGCTCAACTCTTCTTCAAACATATTGTCAAATACTGGGGACTGCCTAAGGACATTGTCAGTGATCGAGATCCTCGTTTCACTGGCATATTTTGGACTGATCAAACTTCTTGGTCCAACTTTGAGCATGAGTTCTAGTTTTCACCCACAATCTGACTGACAGACGGAGCGCTTTAATTCTATGCTAGAAGAATATTTTCGGCACTTTATCTCTATTTCGCAGAAAAATTGGGTAAAACTTTTGAATGCGGCTTAGATTTGCTTCAATGTCCAAAAGAGCTCTTCCACCAATAAGAGTCATTTTGAGATTGTTACTGGCCAGCAACCACTACTCCCTCATACAGTGGATATCGAACGAAGTACCAAGTCCCCTCAAGCAAAGAACTTTTCTCAAGAATGGAAACGAAAGATTGAAATTGCTCGGAGTTATCTTGAGAAAGCTCAAGAACGGTATAAAAAGGCTGCAGATCTAAAGCGCCATTTCATTGAATTCAATGTTGGAGATCTGGTAATGGTTAAGCTTCCCGACAGAAATGTTTACAAACTAACAAGAGGGAAGGACTCAAGATTGACGTCAAAATACATTGGACCATTACCCATCGTAAAAAGGATTGGAAGAGTTGCATACAGAGTTGAACTCCCTTCATGGTGTAAAATCTACAAGGTCCTTCATGTTAGTGTGTTGAAGCCATACTTTGCAGATAAGGAGGACGCATCTAGAAATGAGCCAAAGCGACTTGTGTTTGAACTGAAGAAAGCTGGAAAGAAAGTTGCTGAAGCTATTCTTGACCATCGAATCACTCAGGCTTCTAGAAAAGATCATCAGGAGTACATGGTCAAATGGATTGGATGCAGCAGCGATGAGAATACTTGGGAAAGAGAGAAAGATCTCGGAGCCTTCAAATCATTAATTGAAGCATATCATGCATTGATGGCACCGAGGACGTCACCAAAACAAATGGGGGAGAATGTCAGGAACCGCAGCTTTACTTAGCCCCTTGACACTATCGTAGTCGCAGTTTGCCCAACTTCGACCGCACATTGTAAATATTACTTCAAGTTTGAGTTGTAATTTTATTTTCATTGTAATAGTTATTTCAGTTGTAAAATAACTCTGATATTAGTAAACGTTTAGTATGATTCCTCGTCTTTTAAACGTCTATTCCTGTCACTTAAGTTTTCGTTCAGAATACTATTATAGGGGGTATTAGTCATTCAAAAATCTTTCAAGCTCACTGGTGTCCGTCCCCTGCACCAGCAATTGTAATTTTTTGTTTTCGTCAATTGTAATGTTCAGTTTTCATCAATCAACATTCAATTTACTTTCAATGTATTCAAATTCTCTATTGTAAGCTTTCTACAAAATTGTAATCAAATTTTCTTTCGTCCCGATGCGACCGAGAAAAGGCAGAAGGTAGTCTAGCGGAGCAGACTATTGTCGCATGGTGTCCCTTTCTGTGCCAAGAATAACGGCACCCCGTGAAACCATGTACCGCATTAAAGTAATAATTTTTATTTTTATTTTTTGTGCTTTTAGTTTTACAGTTTTCACCTTTTTCCTGTGTCATTCAAGAGGCAAAATCTCAGTGGGATTATCATGGTTTACCCACCTAATTGATGTCTAAAAGAAATCAGATAACTTAAATTTAAGAATTGGTCGGCCCTCAAAAATTTTAGAATGATTAAGTCAGCAAATTGAAAAGAAAGCTATTTTTTTCCTAAGGATTCTGATCTTGGCATGTAGCTCGGATACCAATTGTTGAATTTAATTATAATCATGCTAAGAATCAATAATCACAATATAATAAATTAATAAATCGAATTCATACTTGGGGAAGCCATCGTTGATATAAATAATAGCAGTCAGATATTCTCCTTCTTGCTTCTCAAAAAAGTGTTGGCCATCAATGAGGCAAGCTAATAAAATAATATGGAAAGGAGAGGGGACCTAGCCTTCATATAGAAATTTATTTAGTCGTCCCATTATTGACTTAAACCCTAATTAGGGTTTATGCATAATTCCAGCCCACATACTTGAAATTATCACATTATATCAAATAAATCCCGTAAGGTGTAAAACGGCTCAAGTTTCACTTAACATAATTGGCCTAATCATAATGTCATTGTGAGCCGTACATTTAACCCGGAAAATATACAATCGAATTTGAAGCCCATATTTAAAATTACTCCAACATGAATGAGTTCTGAGAGGTGGTACGTAAAATTGGGATACGACTTGTAACCCTGAATCAAATCAGTTTGTTGGAATTGCAGTAATCGAGGGTGCACATTCTTGGCTTGGGAATACTTTTGCTCTACTTTGCTAGTTTGAAGCGTCCATCAAACTATCACGAATTGTAGAAATAAAATTCATTTCAGATTAAAGTTGCGGAAGAAAAATTACGAAATTTTTATTTGTAGAAGAATGTCAGTGATTCTTGCATGCATTTTTGTGTTCATAGTTTTTATTATAAGGCACGAGTTTGATATGCTGAAAACGAAAAAATAATAGTTGCATAATGACGAAACACGTGAGAGAATTTAATTCGGCAAAGATAATACAAGCAGGGATACAAAGAACTCCATTAGCACATACTGTTCACACACTCAAGACGAATACTGCCAAAACAAGGACGATGTTGGATATTGAACACAATTCATGTCGGGACAGATGAATTCCATCAGAAGTATCGGCAGAAGGAGTAGTAGTATCATCAGAGGGGGGAGAATTTGAAGCCGGGAGTTTTTTGGGTTTCAGTGGTGCAGGAGCTGGCGGTGGAGGTGCAAATAGACCCTGCGGAAGGAGTACTTTATCAACCTCATATATGGCTAGCTGCTTGTCGGTATATACTGTACTTGCCACTGTTGCATTAACCATATCAGTCGTTATGTTCACCTGATTCCCAGTTGCAGTGACATTGAGTGGAAATTGTTCTTCACTACCAGCTTCTGTTTTTAGTGGATTGCTTGCAGTTTGGAATTTGGAGACAGAGAAAAATGAAGATATGACGTGGAATTGGATCAGCTGGATTTTCTGTTCATCGGTCAGAGAGTTTAACATTCCTGTTTTGAGGTTACTGAATGCAGAATCAGTTGGAGCAAATACTGTAAGACCTTGGTTTGAATTGTCAATCTGTGAATTTAGTTGATCAGCCACTTGGGTGCTTTTTAGGAGTCGAATAAATGTCGTATATTGCCTGGCCTTTAGAAGAATAGCAATGATGTTGGAGGGACCGGAAAGTGCAGGAACCTGTGCTGTAGGTACAAGAGCAGGCGTTGGAGGTACAGGAGCTGGCGTTGGAGGTGCAGGAGCCCGCACCGGAGGTGTTGGAGCCGGAGCCGGACTCTGCGAAAGCGCAGGAGTGCACTGAAAGAAGAATAAGAAGAACACAAGAGGGAGTGTAGAGAATATCTTTTCCATTTTGCAGTTTTTCCCCTTTCTTGTTGGGTTTTAAGAATAATGAATAAACCCCTTGATTATAGATGAAAGAACTCGAAGGAGAGAGCTTTATTTATATTGACTGGGAAGATTTTTTCTCGCAAAAATAAGAAGAAAAAAACTCTCATGCCCCGCACACGCACGTACACACTTGAGATGGCCAATAATTGTTGAGTAAGGTGAAAGGTGCAGTTTAAGGTGGCAAGAAACCTCCGACAGTGTTAAGGCAGCTACTGGTTTGCTTAAATTAGGAGGAGAACAACTTGGCTAGTATTGATGCTGGCATAGCCTAATGAATTTCGAACATATATTTTTCTTCAAGTTTCAATGTTTGTGTACGAGAAATCATTAGGCAGAATGATTTCAATGTCAGTGATTGGATTAGATAAGATAAAGGGTTTAAATAGTTTCTGTATTATGATTGAATTAGATAATGTCAGTGTCATTAGGCAGTATGATTTCAGTGTCAGTGATTGGAATTGAGTTTATTTCACATTTTATTATTCGACATTTTCTTCCTCAGGCCTTACCAGAAGGCGGTGAATTGAAGATAGCGTATTTTGGATTGAAAATCTTGAAACCTTGAGATCTGAATATTCTCTTTGATTTGTGCTCTTTCATGGTTAGCTCTATAACAGTGTTCTAAATGGCGTCCATGGCAAAAACGTCACACCTAGAACCTATGCATTAATTTAACGATCAACAAAAGTGTTGACCGTGCCTAGGCTCACATGGGTGTGCATTATTAATATTTTTTTCAATTTTCTTCATATATATATATAAAGTTTTAAACTTTTGGGTCAATTGGATTAAAACGTCCAAAAATTAATAATTATAAAATTTTCAACTTTTAGGCTAATAGATTGAAAGACCTAAAAAGTTGCTTACGAATTATTGGTCCACAAATTTATATCGCTTATCTCAAAGGATTTTATTGTAAATTTTTTGTGGAATAAGAATTCCTTTGATTTGGCTGTAGTAATGTATTGTAAATTTGGTTTGACGATAGTGTATTGTACGTATAAATAATTATTTATATTTTATTAAGGTAATTAATTATTTTCCGATCTTTTATTAGTTAATAAAAAATAAAAACTCTTCATATAATTCAATTAACACTACTATAATATATCTTATTTACTGTTCGAAAATAAATAAGATATGTTACAACTTTCCTACTTTCCTCTGATATTGATCCTTGTATTCCTTTTTAGTTCAACTTGTCTATTAATGGAGTGAAGAACTTGGACACCGCAAATTCTTGGTGATGACGAAAAACATTCCAAATATGACTCTGGTGAAGACATTGACGATGGCATGTAAATGAGTGGAGGACAATTTATCCCTTTCGGTGGAGGGGGAAGCAATTTACATTTCATTTTGGAGGCCAGTGGAACATATGTCCTTTTAATACAAGAAAATTGGAATACTTTTTAATACTTCGGAGCCTATTATATCTATAAATTACGTAGTATGTGCATGACGGAAGGGGTCCCATATATGTTGACCTTGCATTGATATTCAACTGGATTGGGCCGATTAAATCATCTAACTACTTTTGAGACTTGGCTTGGGTTCGGTCCACTTGGCCCATTCACCTCTTATATACAGGTCTAGTTCATTTACAATTATGGTCCATTTGATTGCAAATACTAGAGATGTCAATGGCTCGGCTCGGCCCATGAAACCACGAGCTCGGCTCATCCAAAAAAGGGCGAGCTAACGGCTCGTTATCCCTTTCGGTGGAGGGGGAAGCAATTTACATTTCATTTTGAAGGCCAGTGGAACATATGTCCTTTTAATACAAGAAAATTGGTATATTTTTTAATACTTCGGAGCCTATTATATCTATAAATTACGTAGTATGTGCATGACAGAAGGGGTCCCATATATGTTGACCCTGCATTGATATTCAACTGGATTGGGCCGATTAAATCATCTAACTACTTTTGAGCCTTGGCTTGGGTTCGGTCCACTTGGCCCATTCGCCTCTTATATACAGGTCTAGTTCATTTACAATTATGGTCCATTTGATTGCAAAGACTATAGATGTCAATGGCTCGGCTCGGCCCATGAAACCACGAGCTCGGCTCGTCCAAAAAAGGGCGAGCTCGCGGCTCGTGGGTAGCTCATGGGCCGAACCGAGCCCGGCTCGCAAGTAGACGTCGTTTTTAATTTTTTTTTTTTGAGAACAAATAGGTAATTTGAAAAATAAAAAAGTAAATTTTTTTTAACTAAAAGAGATAGAAAAAATAAATATGAAAGCTTTATTTTATTTATTTTCTTTTTAAAATAGATAAAATATAAACCCTCCTCCTTTATCCGGATTTGGGACCGGCTACTTAAATTTTTAGTAGGTGGAGTTAAAAATTGTACACGAACAATTTTTTGTAGCGTGTACAATTTTTTAAAGAAAATTAAAAATAACGATAAGAAAAGAAAAGTTTCATCAATATAATTAAATCAAATATCATTTACTTGACGACATGCAATTTCGGCGTATTTATCTTATAGTCGAAAATGAGCGTCCTGCCAATCCTTAACGCACATTAAGGCTTCTAAAATATCTTCTTTCAGTCGGCTCCTGACCTCGCTTAAAATTTTTTTACCTACACTAAAAGCAGACTCCGAAGCAACAGTGCTAATCGGAGGTGTCAGCAAATCTTTTGCAATCGCAGATATAACTGGCCAACGTCGTTCATACCTTCGCCAGAATTCAATTACTTCGTCTGAACTTTTTTTAATTGTTTTATCTGTTGGCTTATTCTAGTTGAAATAATCAATTAATTCAGCAGTCAATGCATTATGGCTTGAGTCCGTAGATGTATGATGAGAATGAGATACAGATGGTGATGACATGGCAGTGGCAGTGGCAGTAGATGAACACATTACAGATGAATCAAATCTATACGAATTAATGCCTTGAAATAAATTAAATATTTCTGCATCTTCTTCTTCAATTTCAGTGGAAGGAGTAGGTGTAGATGGTACCCGACTAATATTGGTATCCATTCGGTTCGCATATGATTCATACATTTCACATAATGTTTGCTCTAAATTTCTATATGTGATAGGTATATCAAATATTAAGGCGTTTGAAATTTGATCAATTATATATTTAGTTCCCGATAAATTATATCGAGGGTTCATCACGCATGCTAAAGGAAATAACATAGACAAATCTTCCTAATATTTTCTAAATTTTAATTCCATAACAATTATAATTTCACTAAAATCAGGGTCATTTCTGTATTTATGAAATGTTCTTACAATTATATAAAGACGTTCAAACACCATACAACTGGTGAGATAGTAAACGCCTGATAAAATTTTAGTGATTTCATAAAAAGATGTCAAAATTTTTTTAACTTTCAAAGCTAAATACCAATCACGTTCAGTCAACATACCCTCGTCATCACTTGTAACATGTCTATTGTTATAAAAGTCAGTTATTAAATGTTCAAAACCTTTACATGACTTTAATAACAAGTAAGTAGAGTTCCACCTATGACCTACGTCGCTAACAAATGTTTTAACATTTTGCACTCCTATTTCGGCACAATAATCCTCAAATGCTTGTTTTCTACTTGGAGAGATTGTGATATATATTAATGCGTTCCTAATATTTTGAAGTTTATCCTTTATATATTTTAAACCATCTTGGACAATTAAATTCAAAATATGACATACACAACGAATATGAAATAAATACCCACAAAAATCAGGTTGTAGTACCTTATGCAATTTTTCAGCAACTACTTTATTAACACTAGCATTATCGAAAGTAAATGAACGAATTTTACCTTTGCAATGATATTCTCTTACAATACTAATAATAAAATTAAATATATTATTAGCGTTGTAAGAAAACTCAATAATTCTAAAAGCAATAATTTTTTATGCATGCATCGAAGTGTGTCTATATAACGTGCAGTTACAGCTATATTTGCTCTTTTATTAATCTCTTCCTATATATCTGAAGTTAAAGATATAACAGCCCCATATTTTTGCAAATTCATAATTAATTGTTGTTTTGTTGAAGTAAAATATTGTATTGTATCATAACGAAGAGTGTTTCGACTTACCCCAACATACTTTGGCTGCAGATATTCCTTCACATACGAGACGTAGTGTTGGTTGTCAATTAATGCCAAAGACAACTCAGCACCAGCAACAAACTTCACCATTCCGGTTCGAGCTTTCTCCTCCAAATACACCCATAAGGATAGGGGTGCAGTAGAACCACCGGCGTCTGGACTACCAAATTACAATTGTGTTTGACAGTCTGGAATAAGTCCGTGTTTGGCCGTATGACGGTTGAGATGAGTGGTACCAATTTCTCTTTGCCATGCCAATCTTTGTTGGCAGTATTTACATACTACTTTGGATTCTTGGACTCCATTGAGAAATTTTTTCGTTGAAATCAACTTAAAATGTTCCCAACATTTTGCTTGTTTTTTCCCCTTTCGCTTTCCTCTCGCATCAGGAATGTTTAATTTAGCCTCTTCTTCCTGATCGTGTTCCTATTTGGGAATGTCAACATCATCCAAATTAATTGGATAATTTGGATTGCCGCTTACATGATGATGAAAATCCAAATCTGGAATATTTTCAGGTAGGGGTACGTCATTTAAACCTTCAAATTGATTCTGAAATTGACTTTGCGGTGTCATAGGCAATTCATTTCCTCCCACACCGAACAAGTTTTCGACAAATGAGTGTGGATCCATTTGTTTAGTTGTAATAAGTAATAACTAGTAGAAGAATAATTGCATAAATGTAGTGAGAAATGAAAATTGGATGAAATTCCAATAAATATAGTGAGAACTGAGAATTGGATATTGTATAAATTGTATATAAAAATTGCGAGTTATCAACACAATACAAGAAACTTGGGAGAAAGATAATTGAGAGTTGAGAGAATTGTAAAAAAATTTGTGGCTAAATGCCACTATTTATAGAAGAAAAGGAAAAAAAAATTAAAGGACCAAAACGATCACTGAAAAAATTCAGTGATCATTAACGGTCAAAAAACAGAAAAAGAATAAA